TGTTATTTTTATTATTACATTTATTATTTTACATTATTATTATTATTATTATTATTATTATTATTATTATTATTGGAAGGATACGTAAGCACATTTTCATTGAAGAAGGTTAGAATGAGAGTTTAATCAGAATTGGAAAGCCTTATTTTAAATTACAGCTTTATGTAAATATTAAAAACATTTCACCTACTGATGCCTCAATTAATGTAATTTTATTGGTATCTATTTTTATTTTGAAATTTACCATTCACGGCTGCATTTCCCACCCGCGGCTTATACTCAGGTCAATACGTTTTCCTATTTTTTTGAGGTCAAACTAGGTGTATCGGCTTATCTTCGGGTCGGCTTATACTCGAGTATATACGGTAGTTGTTTCTACTCCAGAAAATTCATTTTTGTGTCTACGACAAACTTTGTCGAATTGGTTGAGACTCTGTGATATATTCATTATGTAGGTACGGCTGTACCAAAAGCTCCAACTTCCTTTTCTTTCTTTGAGTGTTCGCATGTATTCCAAGTTTTCAGGCATTCTGCAAAGGGGACTTCCCTTGGTTTGCAATTATGGGGCCAAGGACCCATCAATCATTGTTAAGTTTTGGTTCCGCCCCTTTCCCCAGGGCCCTGGGAGGAGAGGGAGCCATTTTAGGTCAGTATTGCATTGGAAAGCTTAGCTACAGGACGTGGATTAGCTCCACCTGTAGAGAAGCTTCGTTTCTCACAGCATCCGGGAAATTCTGGGGGGAAACAGTTCCAAAGGACTCCAGCTGGAGAATCTACAAAGCCTTGACTGGTAGGTCTACTTGGGACCCAAGAAGCAGTTTGGAGCCGGGAGTAGAGCCCACACCAGCAAAGTTTAGAAAGTAGATTGCCCAAGGAGGGGTTAAAAAGGGTTTTCCTCTTAAAGAAAAGAAACAGTTCACAAAGCCAGTTGCCTGTCCCTTGTGGACAAGATTAAGAAAGCCACCAGTTGATTCAAAGCCTTGAAGCATTTGTTTAATTTGTTGAAGATCTAAGAAGTATTTGTTTAACTTTCAAGCTTCTAAAGACTCTGTATAGGAAAATCCTTAGGGCCTCTCACTCGAGGCACCCCAGCTTCCCACTGGGCACAAAGAGCACGTCCTGTTCAAAAGTCAACTGCTATAGGCCCAGCGCGTGACAGCACATTAATTGAAAAACTAGAGCAAAATGTGTTGCGGGATGTCTCGAGAAAATGAAAGTTTTTGCAGTTTAATAAACTTTCCCCATGTTTTTATGATAGAGACAATTAGGAAATGACATTTATAACCCAGGAACACAAATCGTGTTATTTCCGAGTGGAACGGTCCCCAGATTAAACAAGTCTTTCTGTGTTCCTTTTGCACCGGCTAAAGATCAGATCTATCCTCGTCCCACGAGGTGCATGGATGCCGGTTCTCTTTCTCTGCTCAGACCATCTTTGTACGAATGCAGAGGCTGGGACTGCATCGCCCCACAAAGACCGCATTCTACCCATTCATAAATGGAAGAGAATATCTGGTTTGAAATGGAAACACGCGTCTTCATTCTGAATTGTGCTTGATTTATGCATAAGTTTCTGTTACGGAGTGTGAATAGGCTTTTGGAAACAGCCAGGAAAGGTGGAAGGTACAGCCTTCGCTGGACTGTACCACTTGAGTATGGAACGAGATGTAGTTGGCATTGCTTTGGTCATTTCCCTGTACTTTGGAAATAAAGTGCAATCTGGCAGGAAAAAGTTAGTTATGTAGTTTTAAATATATTTTAATACTTTTATGTTCCACGATAGAAAAAAAAATTCATTTTTTTAATTAATACCAGTGTCTATACCCAGGGTTGCCCAATCTAGGCATTTTGTAATGCTTTGTATTATTTACTTATTTTATTTATTTATTTACAGTATTTATATTCCGCCCTTCTCACCCCACAGGGGACTCAGGGCGGATTACAATGTACATATACATGGCAAACATTCAGTGCCATAGACACGCAACATATATGGACAGACGCACAGAGGCTGTTTAACATTCCAGCTTTTTCATGAGAGTATTCTGGCCACCAGGGGAGCTGTTGCTTCACCTTCCATTAGTGACACTGATGAAGTACTTCCTCATTCTTTGCATGCTTGCTGGAGATTTTTATGGCCTCGTAAATTAGCCTCCCTGTGTAAGCGGTACTTAAATTTCCTACTTGAAAGATGCAACTGTCTTTCGGGCTGCAAAGGGATTGTGGCGCAGCTGGCTGAGTGTCAGCTGCATTAAGATCCGCCCTTAAGATCACTCTGAGTTCGAAGCCAGCCCGGGTTGGAGTGGGTTTCCAACCAATTGTGTAGCCTGTTGTCGACCATTGCAACCCGAAAGACAGCTGCATCTGTCAAGTAGGAAAATTAGGTACCACCTTAAAGTGTGGGGAGGCTAAATTAACTGATTTATGAGGCCATAAAGAAGATTCCAGCAAAGCATTCCAGTCGGGCAGCCTGCGGGGAATGCGGAAGTACTTCATCAGCGTCGCAGATGGACAATGAAAGCGACAGCTCCCCTGGCGGCCAGAAAAAAGTTAAATAGCCTCTGTGTATGTCTGTATATGTTTGTATGTCAAAAATTGGCATTGAATGTTTGCCATATATGTGTAGACTGTAATCCACCCTGTGTCCCCTGCGGGGTGAGAAGGGCGGAATATATAAGCTGTAAATAAATAAATAAATAATATACATGGCAAACATTCAATGCCATAGACACACAACATATATAGACAAGACACACAGAGGCTGTTTAACATTCCAGCTTTTTCATGAGGGTATTCTGGCCACCAGGGGAGCTGTTGCTTCACTGTCTATTTGTGACACTGATGAAGTACTTCCTCATTCTTTGCATACTTGCTGGAGATTTTTATGGCGTTGTAAATTAGCCTCCATGCATAAGCGGTACCTAAATTTCCTACTGTCTTTCGGGCTGCAAGGGTCAACAGCAAGCTACACAAATTGGTCGGAAGCTCACTCCAATCTGGACTGGCTTCGAACTCGTGACCTTTTAGTCAGTAGTGATCCTAATGCAGCTAATACAGTCCTGGTATAAGAAATTCTCATTGTTGGCCTTTTGATTCTATGAATGTTCCAATTAGAAAAAAAATGCATACCCATATAATTGGACTTTTTATAAAATTGCTCAACTGATGGGCTGCAAGTCCCATGAGCCCAATACTTGATCAGGATGCAACTCCCATCAGCCTCTATCAGATGTGGCTGGACTCCAACTCCCATCATTCTCTATCAGTCCCACTCCCAATCTCGAGTAAAAGCAGAGTTTTTCAGTCCTTTTTTTAGGCTGAAAAAGCCCCCTTGGCTTTGTTTTTCAAGCATCACCTAGGTGGAAATTTGCGGTCGGAGAAGGGAAGTCATATACCGCCTTCTTTTGCATGTTACGTCACAGAGATCGAAACGAAAGCAGAAGTGCCCATAGAAGACCTCAACGTCTGTTGGCCCTTTGCACTGGATTATTATGTCCTATTAAAACAAACAACCACCCAGCAGTTGCCTTTCACAGGAAACCCTTAATTTGTATGTGTGCCGTAGTCTACAAAATGCAAGAGCCGGACAGAGAAAGAAGGAAACGGCTTTTCAAGATGAGAAAGGGACACAAGATAATATTTCCATCCAAAGAGATAATGGCTCCAGGCTTGTCAAGATATTCAATTATGGGGACTGGGATATGGATAACTCCTTAACTCTTGCTTTTTTGATTTCAGAAGTCCCCAACCATCCCCACAATTGGTTGTCGAAGGCTTTCATAACCAGAATTATTGGGTTGCTGTGAATTTTCCAGGCTGTCTGGCCATGTTCGAGAAGCATTCTCGCCTGACATTTCACCCACATCTATGGCAGGCATCCTCAGAGGTTGAGAGGTCTATTCGAAAGTGAGGTTTATATATATGTGGAATGTCCAGGGTGGGACAAAGAAAGGCCAGCAGACACCTCCTAACAAAGGATTCCCCTGAGCAGGAAGCAGCCAGTCTTTGAAGCTGCAAGGCCATTCAGTGCTAATCAAAGTGGCCAATTGCAACATTCACTCCTGCATCAAGCAGGCAAGAGTTCTTTCTCCCATCCTGGAAATTCCACAGATATGTAAACCTCACTTGCCTAGGTTGTTATAGGATTTTCTGGCTATATGGCCATGTTCTAGAATATTGCCATATAGCCTGAAAAACCTACAACAACCCAGTGAATCCAGCCATGAAAACCTTGGCTAGTTTTGAAGAAAACGACACTCTCTAACTTGACACTTCACAACCTCTGAGGATGCTTGCCATAGATGTGGGCGAAATGTCAGGAGAGAATGCTTCTCTCCTGGCTTTTGGAACAATAGCCCAGAAAACTCACAGCAATTCATCTCAACCTTTTGTTAAGATATCAGTATGCTTTGGGGGGGGGGTATATTTTACCCCCTAAACCAAGCAAAAAGTCCCAAATTACAAGGAGACACACAAAAAAATGAAATACAAATGAAATGCACAGATATAGGATGGGTGGCACCTGGCTTGAAAACAGTCCATTTGAAAGAAATCTAGGAGTCTTGTTGTTGTTCATTCGTTCAGTCGTCTCCGACTCTTCGTGACTTCATGGACCAGCCCACGCCAGAGCTCCCTGTCGGTCGTTACCACCCCCAGCTCGCTCAAGGTCAGTCCAGTCACTTCAAGGATGCCATCCATCCATCTTGCCCTTGGTTGGCCCCTCTTCCTTTTGCCTTCCACTTTCCCCTAGGAGTCTTATCGGACCACAAACTGCTAAGGACATGAGTCAACAGTGGACATGTCAACAGTGTGATGTGGCAACTAAAAAGGCCAATGCGATTCCAGGCTGCATCAGTAGTGTCGAGATGGAGGGAAGCAATATCTGCAGCAATGCTCTGAAATGTAGGAAGCATTTTACCTTGCAAGTCTCTAGTTATATTACTTCCTGTGGTGGCCTTTCCAGTTTACTATATTTATTCTTCTTTCTTCTTGAATTCTAGGCTGAGACATCAAGCCCATAAAGAACTATACGCTTACAAACAGGTGAGCCATTTAGGTGTTCCCTTTATTTTCTGTTTCTTTCTATTACTTTTCAGTGTGAATTTGCTTGCCTTTGAAGTCTCCTATCTGATTTTGCTCAAACTATAATCCAAGGTGTGTCTACACCAGGTATGAGCAAACTCAGGCATGAAGGCCGGATGCGGCCCCTTGGGCTCTCCTCTCTCTCACCATCCTATCCTTCCTTCTCGCTTTCCTTCCCTCCCTTGCTTCCTTACCTCCCTCTTTCTCCCTCCCTCCTTCCTTCCCTTCCATCCTTTCATCCTTCCTTCCTCCCTCCTTTTCTTCCTTCCTCCCTTCCCTTCCCTTTTCCTTCCTCCCTTGCTTTCCTTCCTTCTCGCTTTCTCCTCCTCTCTCCCCTCTTCCTCTCTCTTTCTCCTTCTTCCTTCCTTCCTTCCTTCCTTCCTCCTTCCTTTTCCTTCCTTCCTTCCTTCTCTTCCTTTCCTTCTTCTCTTTTCTTTCCCGTCCCCTCTCTCCTTCTCCTTCCCTCTTTCTTTTTCCCTTTTCTTTCTTCATCCTTCCTTCTCCCTCCCTCTCTTCCTCCTTCCTTCCTTTCCTTTCTTTCCTTCCCTTTCTCCCTTCTTCCCTTTTTTCTTCCCTTTTTTCTTTCCTCTTCCTTCCTTCTTCTCTTCCTTTCTCTTTCTCTCCCTTCCCCTTCTCCTTCCTCCCTCTTTTCTCCCTTTTTTCTTTCCTTCCTTCCTTCCTCTCCCTTCCTTCTTCTCCTCCTTCCTCTTCTTCCTCCTTCCTTCCTCCTTCCCTCTTTTCTTTCCCTTCCCCTTTCTCTCCTTCTTTCCTTTCTTTCGTTCCTTTTCTTTCCCTCTTCCCTTCCTTCTCCTTCTTTCCTTCCTTCTCTCTTTTCTTTCCCTTCCCCTTTCTTCCTTCCCTTCTTCCTTTTCTTCTTCTTTTCTTTCCTCCCTCCCTCCCTCCCTCCCTCCCTCCTTCCTTCCTTCCTTCCTTCCGTTTGTCCTCCCTCCCTTCCTTCTCTTTTTCCAGCTCTTTTTCCTTCCTCCTTTCCTCCTAGGGAGTTTTTGGCTGGGAGAAGATAGAGAAGGAACATTGGAACCATGTTTCAAGATTTCGAATGTTGTCCCATTGAGGAGAAGGAGAGGGAAAACTGACTTTCTGCTGCTCTAGAGACCAGGGCACAAGGAAGCAATGGGTTCAAACAGCAGGGAAAGAGATGTGACTGAAAAGATTAGGAAGAACTTCCTGGAGAGTGGCGTAGGCTGCCTGGAAATGCGGTGGAGTCTCCTCTTCTGGAGGCTTTTCCACAGAGGCTGTCTATTGGAAGTGCTTTGGTTGTGCCTTTCTGCATGGCAGGGGGTTGGACTGGATGGCCTTTGGGGGTCTCTTCCAGTTCTAGGATTCTATATCGGGAATAGGCAATACGGGGTTTAATGGATACACTTTTTCTCTCCCGTCCACCAGTTCTGGGATCTCGCTAGACTACAAATCTGGCAATTCCACAACATAGAGCCATGGCAATGGAAGTGTCGCGTCAATTCCAAATCGTTAGGGATGTCAGAAAACATCAAAGCTCAGGTTAAAACACAAGGTGGAGTCGCTGCTCCGCTGAAATGGAAAATACCAGCCAAAATTACATTTTAATATTTTTCAATGATAATAATAATCGTTGTTGTTGCTGCCATTGTTGTTATTGATTGGCACCCTCTCTCAATATCTCTTTTCTTGCAGGTTATCCTAAAGGAAAAAGTCAAAGAACTCAACTTACATGAGGTAAGCTCCTATTCTCCTTCGTGGTCTCTGTGAAATTGCACATACGAGTCTCACTGTTCTTTAATAATTTTATTAAACCTTTCATTGAATAGAGTGTGATATATATTACTTTTCATATAAGTGATGTATGGTGTTTTCTGGACATTTTTTCCTAAGGATCTTCTATCTTCTAGCACAAGCATGGGCAAATTTCAGCCCTCCGGGTGTTTTGGACTTCAATTCCCACAATTCCTAACGGCCTACCGGCTGTTAGGAATTGTGGGAGATGCAATCCAAAACACCCGGAGGGCCAAAGTTTGCCCATGCCTGGAATAAGGAGACTGATCACTACTATAGTAGATTGCCCCCAGTGACACATTGGGTTAAACTGCTGAACTTGCTGACCAAAAAGTGGCAGCTTCGAATCCGCCCTGAGTCCCCCCCCCGGGGTGAGAAGGGCGGGGTATAAGTAAATGAAATAAATCCAGGAAGCAGCATGAGCTACCGCTGTCGTCCCTAGCTTCTGCCAACCTAGCAGTTCAAAAACATGCAAATGTGAGTAATAATAATAATAATAATCTATATAAATAAAAACGTCATGTTCATTTGTGGGATTAACATAACTCAAAGACCACTGGACAAATTGACACGAAATTTGGACACAAGACACCTAACAGTCCAACAAGTGTCCATCACCTGTACATACACACACACAAAACCCCAGTGGAACAGACTTTTAAAAAACCCAAAATACACCATATATACATATACATATACACATGCACATATTCATACACACACATGTGTATATATATGTACAAACACACACAAATATACACACATATACATATACATACACAGAGATATACATATACACATACACGCATGCACACATAGATACATATACACATGCACACATATTTACATATCCACATACATACATATATACACACAAATATGCATATAGACAAGTACACACTTATACACAATATGCATGTACACATATCAACACACAAATATATACACACACACATATATATACACACATTTATATACACCCACATATCTATCTATACAGATATACCTCTATATATATATATATATATATATATATATATATATATATATATATTTACGGAAACACACATATATACACAAATATATACACACACAAAACACATATACACTGACTGGGCCACAGCAACGTGTGGCAGGGGATAGCTAGTAGTAGTAGTAGTAGTAGTAGTAATAATAATAATAATAATAATAATCTTTATTTATACCCCACCACCATCTCCGTAGAGGGGACTCGGAGCGGCTTACATGAGGCCAAGCCTGGCAATACATTACAGCAAAATAAATACAGAACGGCAAAAAATAACATCTCAATAAAATAATAAAAACATACAAGTAAAATAAATCAGCGCAAAATAACAAACACAGTGGGCGGGCCAAATGTATGACATAAAATGCTAAAACTCTTGATGAGATAACAATGAAAAAAAGTATATTTGTATGGGATCAATAGGTACTGCTTTAGCAGGAAGAAAACAGTGCTCCATGCAGTCATGCTGGCCACATGACCTTGGAGGTGTCTATGGAGAACGCCGGCTCTTCGGCTTAGAATCATAGAGTTGGAAGAGACCTCGTGGGCCATCCAGTCCAACCCCCTGCCAAGAAGCAGGAATATTGCATTCAGAGCACACCTGACAGATGGCCATCCAGCCTCTGTTTAAAAGCTTCCAAAGAAGGAGCCTCCACCACACTCTGGGGCAGAGAGTTCCACTGCTGAACGGAGATGACCACCAGTCCCCAGAGTCGGACACGACCGGACTTCATGTTAGAGGAAAACATTTTCCTTTTTGTATAGTAAATTGCATTTGCGTACATTTCAGAACGCACACTCCTTTTGTGTGCGTTCCCAATCTCTTCTCCTTGGGCCCCAGGTGAGCTGGTTTTGCTAGCTTTTTGAGACGCTTCCGAAACCTGTTTGGCCGGAGAACGTGCTGGGATGAAGGGAGTGCGCGTACATTTTAATAAAACACATGCAATCCCTTCAAAAAATATGGGCAGAACGAGAGTGTGGGCACATGCATCTCCAACCTCTTATTGTTTTTGTGCCCAGAATATCCTCCAAAGTCCCTTTCAGTCCCATGGTTACCCACACAATCCTCCTAAGAGTGCCATAATTCAATAGTTTGAGTCAGTTTACCCCCTAAACAAAAGGAACTACATAAAAAGAGGCAGAAAGTCAGCCACTTTTAAACCCCAGGCCCTCTTCACGTTGCAAAATTATTATTCTGCTTTGATTGATTGTTGAATATCACATTGTTCCCCAGTATGCGATTCGGATTGGCCAACGGTTATGTAAAAACACAGTACGACTAAAGGAAAACTATTAATACAAAGCTTAATGCACAATGAAACCCTATTTCCACAAGTTAAAAGTGCAAATTAAAACACTTTCGAAGCATAATAAAAGGGAATGCCACCGTCTCCATTAAAAGCTCCATCTGACGAAAACATACCTGAAGTAATGCAGCTCCATTCTCTGGGATTTGGAATTCAGGGAGACATTTGACATTCCTAACCTGAGAAATAGGGGTCCCCCGCTGGCACAGTGGGTTAAACCGCTGAGCTGCTGAACTTGCTGACCGAAAGGTCGGTGGTTTGAATCCAGGGTGGGGGGTGAGCTCCTGCTGTTAGCCCCAGCTTCTGTCAACATAGCATTTCGGAAACATCCAAATGTGAGTATTATTATTATTTATTTGGTTTACTTTTACCCCGCCCTTCTCACCCCGAAGGGGACTCAGGGCGGCTTACACATCCAAGGCACAATTCGATGCCCGTAACATACCACAGCAATAAAACAAAACACAATTTAACAATCAACAGCAATACATTACATCTATACCCGTTAAAACCAATAAAACCAATAAAAATTTCATACAAACCGATACAAACCAATTACTCCTTATTGCCGGTCAGTGTTCACTATCTCATAGTTCAGAGTTTCCTTCCACATTTATCCGTCTTGCCGGTCCTGTTTGTCTGGTTGTCCTTACCTAGTTAGCAGATTGCCCGAAGGCCTGGTCCCACAACCACGTCTTTACCCTCCTCCTGAAAGACAGGAGTGATGTCGACGTCCTGATATCCACTGGGAGTGAGTTCCACAGGTGGGGGGCCACCACCGAGAAGGCCCTACTCCTTGTCCCCACCAGCCTCACTTTGGACAGCTGTGGGGTTGAGAGCAGGGCCCCCTCAGATGATCTCAGACTCCGGGGTGGGACGTAGAGGGAGATACGTTCGGACAGATACGCTGGACCGCAACCGTTCAGGGTTTTGTAGGTCAAAACCAGCACCTTGAATTGGGCACCTTGAATAGGTACTGCTCCAGCAGGTAGGTAACAACAATCCATGCAGTCATGCTGGCCACATGACCTAAGAGGTATCCATTGATTGTAGGTGAACTATAAATCCCAGTAACTACAAGTCACAAATTTCAAGGTCTATTTCCCCCAAACTCCATCTGTGCTCATATTTGGGCATATGGAATATTTGTGCCAAGTTTGGTCCAGATCCATCCTTCTTTGAGTCCACAGTGCTCGCTGGATGTGGGTGAACTATAACTCCCAAACTCAAGGTCAATGTCCACCAAACCCTTCTAGTGTTTTCTTTTGGTCATGGGAGTTTCGTGTGCCAAGTTTGGTTCAATTCCATCATTGGTGGAGTTCAGAATTGTCTTTGATTGTAGGTGAACTATAAATCCCAGCAACTACAACTTGAAAACGACAAAATTATTTTGTTTTGGAGTGATGGTCACTCCTTGGGTTAGTAGGTGTCTTGTGGCCAAATTTGGCGGCAATTCGTCCAGTGGTTTTTGGGTTATGTTAATCGCACAAACGAACATTACATTTTTATTTATATAGATTCTTAAAATCTGAAGAGCTCATTTGCTAAGCTGGGGAAAACAGTGCGAAAAACAGTGCGAGCAGAATGACTTGCAGAGGCTCTAAATTTGAACTTGTGGATATTGGAGAGTCCAGGAAGGGAGGGAGCACATTTGGCACAAGCTCGGAAGCCCGAAAGCGACACCATGAGCGGGCTGCTTGGAGGCTCGGTTATGCAACCGTCGTGGCAGCAACTCTTGCCAACCCTCACACAAGTGGAAGTTATTTATATTTGCTGTAAACTCTTGCTTTGAGTGGAGAGGGTGGAAGGAAAGTCTCCTCTCGTCTTGATCAAGGAGGCTGCCAAGGAGTTCTACCTTTCTCTTTTATTTAAACCTCTGAAAGTAGTTCTTACACTCCAGAAACTTGGCTTCTGTGGCTGCCGCAAACAAGGTTGGAATGGTTGAGACTCCATGAGATATTCATTGGAAAATTATAGAGCCGTTCAGCAGTGGAACTCTCTGCCCCGGAGTGTGGTGGAGGCTCCTTCTTTGGAAGCTTTTAAGCAGAGGCTGGATGGCCATCTGTCAGGGGTGATGTGAATGCAATATTCCTGCTTCTTGGCAGAATGGGGTTGGACTGGATGGCCCATGAGGTCTCTTCCAACTCTTTGATTCTATGATTCTATAGTAAAATGTGCTGCAGGATGTCCCCCAAAAAAACAGTTTTTTGCAGTTTATCCATGTTTTTATGATAGAACCAAATAAGGTAAAGGTTTCCCCTGACATTAATGTAATGCAATATAATACTAATACTAATAATAATAATGCTAATAATATAATATTGTGTGTGTGTGTGTGTGTATATATATATATTGGAAAATTATAGTAAAATGAGCTGCAGGATGTCCCCAAAAAACCAGTTTTTGCAGTTTAATCAACTTTATCCATGTTTTTATGATAGAACCAATCAAGGTAATGGTTTCCCCTGACATTAATGTAATGCAATATAATACTAATACTAATAATAATAGTAATAATAATAATAATAATATATTATTATTATTATTAAATATTTTTATTATATGTAATATTACTAAGAATATTACAATATAATGGTATAGTACAATATTACAATATAATGTAATACTGATATTGTACTATGCTAATAATATAATATTGTGTGTGTGTGTGTGTGTGTGTGTATATATTGGAAAATTATAGTAAAATGAGCTGCAGGATGTCCCCAAAAAACCAGTTTTTGCAGTTTAATCAACTTTATCCATGTTTTTATGATAGAACCAATCAAGGTAATGGTTTCCCCTGACATTAATGTAATGCAATATAATACTAATAATAATAGTAATAATAATAATAATAATATATTATTATTATTATTATTATTATTATTAAATATTTTATTATATGTAATATTACTAAGAATATTACAATATAATGGTATAGTACAATATTACAATATAATGTAATACTGATATTGTACTATGCTAATAATATAATATTGTGTGTGTGTGTGTGTGTGTGTGTGTGTGTGTGTGTGTGTGTGTGTATATATTGGAAAATTATAGTAAAATGAGCTGCAGGATGTCCCCAAAAAACCAGTTTTTGCAGTTTAATCAACTTTATCCATGTTTTTATGATAGAACCAATCAAGGTAATGGTTTTCCCTGACATTAATGTAATGCAATATAATACTAATAATAATAGTAATAATAATAATAATAATATATTATTATTATTATTAAATATTTTTATTATATGTAATATTACTAAGAATATTACAATATAATGGTATAGTACAATATTACAATATAATGTAATACTGATATTGTACTATGCTAATAATATAATATTGTGTGTGTGTGTGTGTGTGTGTGTGTATATATTGGAAAATTATAGTAAAATGAGCTGCAGGATGTCCCCAAAAAACCAGTTTTTGCAGTTTAATCAACTTTATCCATGTTTTTATGATAGAACCAATCAAGGTAATGGTTTTCCCTGACATTAATGTAATGCAATATACTAATAATAATAATATAATATATTATAATTAAATATTTTATATTACATGTAAGATTACTAATAATATTACAATATAATGGTATAGTACAATATTACAATATAATGTAATACTGATATTGTACTATGCTGATAATATAATATATTGTATGTATATATATATATCTTGGAAAATTATAATAAAATGTGCTGCAGGATGTCCCCCCAAAAAAACAGTTTTTGCAGTTTAGTCAACTTTATCCGTGTTTTTATGATAGAACCAATTAAGGTAAAAGTTTCCCCTGACATTAATGTAATGCAATATAATACTACTACTACTACTACTACTACTACTACTAATAATAATAATAATAATAATATATTTTTATTATATGTAATCATAGAATCATAGAATCAAAGAGTTGGAAGAGCCTCTGTTTAAAAGCTTCCAAAGAAGGAGCCTCCACCACACTCCGGGGCAGAGAGTTCCACTGCTGAACGGCTCTCACAGTCAGGAAATTCTTCCTCATGTTCAGATGGAATCTCCTCTCTTGTAGTTTGATATTACTAATAATATTACAATATAATGGTATAGTACAATATTACAATATAATGTAATACTGATATTGTACTATGGTAATAATATAATATATTGTATGTATATATATCTTGCAAGTCGCTCTGAGTCCCTTTTGAGGTGAGAAGGGGGCATATAAATGTCGTAAATAAATAAATAGTTGTGTCTGACTCTGGGGGGTGGTGTTCATCTCCATTTCTAAGCCAAAGAACTGGTGTTGTCCATAGACACCTCCATATGGCCAGCATGACTGCATGGCGCACTATTACCTTCCCACCAAAGCAATACCTATTGATCTACTCTTGTCTGTTGGAGGTAGGTGTGAATGTTTGAATTATTTATTAGCATTTAATGGCCTAGCAGTTTCAAGGTCTGGCATCTTACTGCCCGGGGGAAACCTCCAACAGACAAGAGTTCTTTTTCCCACCCTGGACATTCTACAGATACATAAACCCAATTTTCCTAGTTTCCAACAGACCTCACAACCTCCAAGGATGCCTGCCATAGATGCAGGCGAAACGTCAGGAGAGAATGCTTCTGGAACATGGCCATACAGCCCGGAAAACTCACAACAATCCATTGATGTTGTGGTTTGAATGTTGGATTATAGCTCTAGAGACCTGGCTTCAAACCCACATCTGAACAAGGACAGCCCATGATAAGTTTGCTTTAGGGTTGCCATAAAGTCTGCATTGACCTGAAGGCAACAGCAATTATGAGAAACCTGAGAGGTAAGAAAAGGGATCGCCTTATCACCTGGGAGTTGAAGTCCAAAACATCGGGAATAATATAGAGTTTTGGAAATCGTTGCAAACGAATGGTCCCTTAGATGGGTTTTCCAGATGCAAAATAAGTCAGCGGTCTTGTACCTCTAATGGTTTTTTGGAAGAGGGGGTTTTAGCACACGGCGATCGCATGACAAGCAACACCTGCGGATATTTCCTCTTCTGTAGAGTCATCGGCAGTTCACACGTCCTGTTCTGTTTCCAAAACCATTGTCATCTTGAGAAGTTAGGCAGGAGGAGCAAATTCCTCAAAGCAGATGTCCAGGAGTGTAATCATTGGCTACATCCAGGAGTTGAAATCCAAACCATTCCTAGGTTTCACATCTCCGCAGTTTTGGGTGCATTCGTAGTCTTGTTCTGTAATAACACCCTAGACTCATTGAATCCTAGAGTTGGAAGAGACCTCCTGGGCCATCCAGTCCAACCCCATTCTGCCAAGAAGCAGGAGAATCACATTCAAAGCACCCCTGACAGATGTCCATCCAGCCTCTGTTTAAAAGCTTCCAAAGAAGAAGCCTCTACCACACTCCGGGGCAGAGAGTTCCACTGCTGAACAGCTCTCTCAGTCAGGAAGTTCTTCCTAACTATGAATCTCCTTTCCTTTCGTTTGAAGCCATTGTTCCACGTCCCAGTCTCCAGGGCAGCAGAAAACAAGCTTGCTCCCTCCTCCCTATGATATCCTCTCACATGTCTCCCCTCAGCCTTCTCTGCTTCAGGCTAAACATGCCCAGCTCCTTAAGCCACTCCTCATAGGGCTTGTTCTCCAGACCTTTGATCATTTGAGTTGCCCTCCTCTGGACACATTCCAGCTTGTCAATATCTCCCTTCCATTGTGGTGCCCAGAATTGGACACAATATTCCAGGTGTGGTCTAACCAAAGCAGAATAGAGCATGGGGAGCATTTCTTCCCTAGATCTAGACACTGTATAAAAGTGACTGCATCTCCAATATTGTTTATGTGTGTACAATTTGGCATCCTTTGCAGTACATTGCATCCCTTCTGCAGATTGAATCAAGCTTCTGCTGTTTGCCTAGACCAGTGTTTCTCAACCTTCCTAATGCCGCGACCCCTTAATACAGTTCCTCATGTTGTGGTGACCCCCAACCATAACATTATTTTTGTTGCTAATTCACAACTGTAATCTTGCTCCTGTTATGAATTGTAATGTAAATATCTGATATGCAGGATGCATTCTCATTCACTAGACCAAATTTGGCACAAATACACATTACGCCCAAATTTGAATACTGGTGGAGTTGGGGGATTGATTTTGTCATTTGGAAGTTGTAGTTGCTGGGATTTTTAGTTCACCTACGATCAAAGAACATTCTGAACTCCACCAATGATGGAATTGAACCAAACTTGGCACACAGAACTGCCATGACCAACAGAAAATACTGGGAGGGTTTGGTGGGCACTGACCTTGAGTTTTGGAATTGTAGTTCACCTATACCCAGAGAGCACTGTGGATTCAAACAACGATGGATCTGGACCAAACTTGGCACGAATACTCAATATGCCCAAATGTGAACACTGGTGGATTTTGTGGAAAATAGATTTGGGAGTTATAGTTCACTTACAATCAAAGAGCATTCTGAACCCCACCAACGATAGAGTTAGGCCAAACTTCCCGCACAGAACTCTCATGACCAACAGAAAATACAGTGTTTTTGGTGGTCTTTGGTGACCCCCCTGACACCTGCTCGCGACCCCCCTAGGGGTCCCGACCCCCAGGTTGAGAAACACTGGCCTAGACACTATACTCCTATTGATACATGGCTATCATATCTCCTCTCATCCTTCTCTTCTTCAGGTTAAACAAGCCCAGCTCTTTAAGCTGCTCCTCATAGGGCTTGTTCTTCAGACCCCTGACCATTTTAGTCACCCTCCTCTGGACACATTCCAGCTTGTCAAAATCTCCCTTCCATTGTGGTGCCCAGAATTGGACACAATATTCCAGGTGTGGTCTAACCAAAGCAGAATAGAGCATGGGGAGCATGACACTAGGCTCCTCTTGATGCAGGCCAACATCCCATTGGCTTTTTTGCCACTACATCACATTGTTGGCTCATGTTTAACTTGTTGTCCAAGAGGAAACTTTTGGGTCTCCTTTGAGCTCTAATTATATCTGTCAGGAATGCAAAGTGTTTTTCCAGTCGTGCCTCTGACTGACCTTTCCCACTTTTGTCCCTTTTTTGGTTCTTTTTTTCCCCAGATCTGTGCTGTTTGTTTGGAGGAATTCAAGCCCAAGGATGAACTGGGAATCTGTCCATGCAAGCATGCCTTCCACAGAAAGTAAGTGCCCAATCTTGTTGGTAAGCGCAAAAGGTCAGGGACAAATGACCGAGGCAGCCTTGGAAACCCTGGCTCACTCTTGGCAAATCTGGGATCAGTGAATGGAAGATTAGAAGCAGATCAGCCTTGGCTGGAAAGCTAGCAATTGCTGGTTTCCTTGAACATTGATTGGCACTGAACATCAGGTGCACTGTTTTGGAGGCCTTGGGAATCACACCTAAGTCCATGCTCTGCTTACCTGTATTACGGGATACAGTAGGCAGCCCCCAGTGGCACAATGGGTTAAACCAGTGGTTCTCAACCTGGGGTCCCCAGATCTTTTTGGCTTGCAACTCCCAGAAATCCCAGTCAGTTTACCAGCTGTTAGGATTTCTGGGAATTGAAGGCCAAAAACATCTGGGGACCCCAGGTTGAGAAACACTGGGTTAAACCCTTGTCCCAGCAGGACTGAAGACCGACAGGTTGCAGGTTTGAATCTGGGTAGAGCACGGGTGAGCTCCCTCTGTCAGCTCCAGCTCCCCATGTGGGGACATAAGAGAAGCCTCCCACAAGGATGGTAAAACATCAAAACATCCATGCATCCCCTGGGCAACATTTATTTATTTATTTATTTAGAAGTTTTGTATACCGGCCTTCTCACCTCTCTTGAGGGACTCAGACCGGTTTCCAACCATAATATCACATACAATCAATAAAACATCATAATTTAAAAGTTTAAACATTAAAACAGCAATTACAATCAATAACTATAATGGTCAGTCGTCACACTAAAATCGTTGCTCATCATCCTCCATCCATATCTCAGGGTTGGCTCACTCGTCGAATGCCTGTCTCCATAACCACGTCTTCAACTGTTTCCTAAATATCGTCAGGATAGAAGGGGCGGTTCTGATCTCCAGTGGGAGAGAGTTCCAGAGTCGAGGGGCCACCACCGAGAAGGCCCTGTCCCTCGTCCCCACCAGACGCGCTTGCGAGGCCGGTGGGACCGAGAGCAGGGCCTCTCCAGACGATCTTAATAATCTTGATGGTTCATAGGGGAGAATACGTTCGGAGAGGTAAACAGGGCCGGAGTCGTTTAGGGCTTTATAGGTTAACACCAGCACTTTGAATTGTGCTCGGAAGCTAATTGGCAGCCAGTGGAGCTGGTGTAACAGCGGAGTGGTGTGCTCCCTGTACCCAGCACCCGTTAGTAGTCTGGCTGCTGAGCATTGGACTAGCTGCAGCTTCCGGGCAGTCTTCAGAGGCAACCCCACGTAGAGAGTGTCACAATAGTCTAAACGGGATGTAACCAAAGCGTGGACCACCGTGGCCAAGTAGACTTCCCAAGGTACGGGCGCAGCTGGCACACAAGTTTTAATTGTGCAAAAGCTCCCCTGACCACCGCTGAAACCTGGGGCTCCAGGCTCAGTGATGAATCTAGGAGAACTCCCAAACTGCGAACCTGCGCCTTCAGGGGGAGTGTGACCCCATCCAGCACAAGCTGTAACCCTATGCCCTGTTCGGCTTTTTGACTGACCAGGAGGACCTCTGTCTTGTCTGGATTTAGTTTCAATCTATTGTCCCTCATCCAGTCCAATTAGTTTTGCCCCCTTATCTCACCCGGAGTTTTTAAAACATCCTTGCAGACGGTCAATTCTCTCACACCAGAAGCAACTTGCAATTTCTCAAGTTGCTCCTGATACAAAAAAAATGGGATACAGTTTATACCTTGCAGTGTTTTTGGACTTGCATGTGGCATTAGACCGTAACAGCTCTTTCAATCAGCTGCTTGTGCTATTGGATCTCACAGCAGCATTTGACACAGTCGACCACAATCTTTTGACCCACCGCCTTGCTGCTGTTGGAGTCAGGGGGAGAGCTTTAAACTGGCTGTCCTCCTTTCTTCACAACCGTGGACAGCGAGTGGAGAGGGGAGGCCTGGTCTCTGAGAGGTCCCCTCTCTCTCTCTCTCAGAGGGGGCCATTCTCTCCCCTCTGTTGTTTAACATCTATATGCGACCACTTGCTCAGCTGGTTCGAGGTTTTGGGCTGGAGTGTTACCAGTACGCTGATGACACTCAGCTGGTGCTGAAGATGGAAGGCCGACCGAACTCTGTATCCGATTGCTTCCATCAGTGCCTCAAGGCCATTACTGGATGGCTGCGTGCCAGCAGGTTGAGGGTGAATCCGGCAAAGACGGAGATCCTATGGCTGGGTGGACCGGGCAGTGGGGATATCCAGCTGCCTACCCTGGATGGCGAGGCGCTATGCCCGTCATCATTGGTAAAGAGTCTGGGCTACGGTCATCTCAAGACTGGACTACTGTAACACCCTCTACATTGGCCTTCCTCTGTCGGTGATCCGGAAGCTCAATTTGGTACAAAATGCAGCTGCTCAGCTTCTTGCGGGAACTCCAATGAGATGCCACATAACCCTAATCGAGCACCGGATCACTTTCAAAGTGATGGTACATACCTTTAAGGCCTTGCATGGTCTGGGGCCGATGTACCTAAGAGACCGCCTCACCCCCTCCCAACCCCAGAGATCCCTCCGTTCTGAGGACCAAGATCTATTGGAAATTCCCAGTGTCAAGACCTTGCGTCTCACAGCAACCAGACGCAGAGCCTTCACAGCAGTGGCACCATCACTCTGGAATACTCTGCCACCTGAAGTCCGTGCCTTGCGGGACTTATCAGCTTTCCGCAGGGCATGTAAGACATACCTGTTTCGACAGGCCTTTAATGTTTTATATTGTCGTTTTTAAATTGTTTTTAAATTGTGTTAGATTTTAGCCATTCTTGTAAGCCGCTCCGAGCCCCAGGGGAGTGGCGGCATATAAGTTCGATAAATAAATAGAATAGAATAGAATAGAATAGAATAGAATAGAATAGAGTATAAGGAGTCCAACTCACAATGTCCACCTGAACATGTGCTGCTTGCTTTCCATCCGCAGGTGCCTCATCAAGTGGTTGGAGGTGCGCAAAGTGTGCCCCTTGTGCAACATGGCCGTTCTCCAGCTGGCCCAACTCCACAGCAAGCCCGACCACCACGGACTCCCCCCGCAGGAACCCCTCCCCGGGGCAGCAAACATCGTATAGCTTCCCAAGCACCGCAGACGTCTCCAACACAACCCAGAACTCAACGGACCTGCGCAGAGCGGCTCCGATGTCTGGACCCGCTGCCGGTTGCCTCGGACTATCGAGCAGGGTTCCTTTTGTCTCTTGAAGAGTTTCCCGAGATGTACTGGAAAGAAGGAAGGAGGGAAGGAAGGACAATGGCGCCAGTCCCTGCAGCACAACACGAACGCCAAAAGTCTGTGGGTTTGGCTTTGCTTTAGTTCTTTTTTTAAGAAATGGTTTTGTACAAGCACTTTACAAAGGACGCGAGTAGGGTATAGGATCAGGTGCCTGCCTTTCCCTTCAATGGGATAGAAGGAGGGAGAGGACAACGCCGAAGGGGATGAGGATGAAGACCAGGAATGGCCCCGGTGGCGCTGAGCATCGGGGGGCAAGGAGACTCCACGTGCCCCCCTCGGACGACCCAAACATTTCCACCTCCCTGGCCGTTACCTCATACCAGATTGCCTGTGGGCTTCCAGGACAGAACAACAATAAGGCAATATCCTGACGTGGGGGCAGCACAACCATCTGGGGTTCAACAGGGAAGTCCCACAGGGAAAACGTCAACAGTTGGGCCACAATCCAGCCCTGAAGGATCCTGTTAGGCACTTGAGACCCCCTTTTCCTCCACTCCTGCCTCCGAAAACAATTCTTTTAAGTGCCCCAAGGAGGAGGAGGAGGAGGAAGGGCAACCCCCCCCCCCCCCCCACATCTCACAAAATACTGTCATCTTATTGTCGAAGGCTTTCATGGCTGGAATCACTAGGTTCTTGTGGGTTTTTTCGGGCTATAGAGCTATGTTCTAGAGGCATTTCTCCTGACGTTTCGCCTGCATCTATGGCAAGCATCCTCAGAGGCGAGGATGCTTGCCATAGATGCAGGCGAAACGTCAGGAGAAATGCCTCTAGAACATGGCCATATAGCCTGAAAAAAACCCACAAGAACCTACTGTCATCTTGATGGATGGACTTCCATCTTTGGTGGGAAGCTCAAAAGAAAACCCAACCTTGCTAGCTCCTGAGAAAAGGGACTGATGGATCCAAACCACAGGAGATAGGGATGTCCCCCTCCACTCACATTCAAACCATGCGCTGGAGAAAAGGGTGTTTATTTTTCCAAGTTAGATTGGAATTTTCTCTTTTTTTTTAAATGGCAAATGCAGCAATCTTGGAATTTAGTTGGTTTTGTGTGTCTACCAATTCAGATGAATCCATGCCAAAAGAGCTGAACTGGATCAGATCTAAGGTTCCTTGAAGTCCACCAAGAGTCAGAGGTAGAGGCAGAAGACCCTTTCTTGGTCATGTTCTCCAGCAAATGGTACCTAAAGACATGTACCTATTGCTGGGAAACAAAAAAACCAAAAAACAGAAATACTGCCTCAAAACCAAAACAGAGGTTAGTTTATATTGTCGAAGGCTTTCATGGCCGGAATCACTGGGTTGTTGTAGGTTTTTCCGGGCTATATGGCCATGTTCTGGAGGCAATTTTTCTCCTGACGTTTCGCCTGCATCTATGGCAAGCATCCTCAGAGGTAGTGAGGTCTGTTGGAAGTAGGAAAAATGGGTTTATATATCTGTGGAATGACCAGGGTGAGACAAAGGACTTTTGTCTGCTGGGGCTAGGTGTGAATGTTTCAGCTGATCACCTTGATTAGCATTCAATGGCTTGGAAGTGCCTCGGGGGAATCTTTTGTTGAGAGTGATTTTATTTGCCTGTTTGTTTCCCCTCACTACCTCTGAGGATGCTTGCCATAGATGCAGGTGAAACGTCAGGAGAAAAATTGCCTCCAGAACATGGCCATATAGCCCGGAAAAACCTACAACAACCCCGAGGTTAGTTTCTTTGAGTGGAAACTCCAAATTCCCCCTTTAGCAATGGCTATGAGGAATTCTGGGTGCTGTAATCCCAAGAAGGGTCATATTTTCCACAAATGACTTTTGCAGCCATCCATTACAGCTTTTTTCCAAAGTCTCAACTCCAAACTAAACTCCAAACTGAATTGCCAAGCAATACTAGGCTGATAATACTCAATATATTGGGTTTATGCAATATATATTTTTTCATGTCGAGGCTCCAGTTGAGGGATGGAGTCTTTAAGCTGCCTTTCACTGTGGATTTGGCTTCCAGAAAATAATGACAATTTATTAGAAAAGGCAAGAGCTAAACCAAAAGTTTAGGCAGCTTAAGGTCAATGATGATACCCTGTTTCCCCGGAAATAGTATTAATTTTTGCTTCCTAAAGATGCACTAGGTCTTATTTTCAGGGGGTGTCTTGTTTTTCCATTAAGAAGAATTCACATTTATGGTATTATGAAGGCTTTCATGGCTGGAATCACTGGGTTGTTTTTCGGAGGTTTTCGGGCTATATGGCCATGTTCTAGAAGCATTCTCTCCTGACGTTTCGCCTGCATCTATGGCAAGTATCCTCAGAGGTTGTGAGGTCTGTGAGCACTCCACAGAGGTTGTGACCATCCTCAGAGGTTGTGAGGATGCTTGCCATAGATGCAGGCGAAACGTCAGAAGAGAATGCTTCTGAAACATGGCCATATAGCCCGATCTATGGCAGGCATCCTCAGAGGTTGTGAGGTCTGTGAGCACTCCACAGAGGTTGTGTGACCATCCTCAGAGGTTGTGAGGATGCTTGACATAGATGCAGGCGAAACATCAGGAGAGAATACTTCTGAAACATGGCCATATAGCCCGAAAAACCTATAACAACCCATTCACATTTATTGTTGAACAAAAAAAACAGAACATTTATCATATACTGTCTGGTAGTTGTCTGGTTACACTGGTTGCCTGACTCACACACAGGGCCACACAAAATAAGGATTGTAAAGACCCTGGTTCCCACACACCATCTACAGACAGTCATGATCTCCCACAGCAGTTCCTGGACCACTTGGACAGCAGGGACAGTTTTGCATCTTTCAGCAGCCGGGGGAGTAAACAAACACTTCACTAGGTCTTACTTTTGGGGGAGACCTTACATTTAGCAATTCAGCAAAAGCTCTACTAGGTCTTATTTTCAGGAGATGTCTTATTTTTCCATGAAGAAGAATTCACATTGTTGAACAAAAAATTGAACATTTATGATATACTGTACGGTAGTTGTCTGGTCACACTGGTTGCCTGACTCACACCCAGGGCCACACAAAATAAGGGTTGTAAAGTCCCTGGCTCGCACACACCGTCTGCAGACAGTCACAATCTTCCACAGCAGTTCCTGGACCACTTGGACAACAGGGAAGGTATTGCAGCTCCCAGCCACCCTCCGGGGAGCAAACAATCACTTTGCTAGGTCTTACTTTCAGGGAAGGCCTTATACAGGATGAGGCAGCATAACACCTCCCACAGCAGTTCCTGGACCACTTGGACAACAGGGACGGTATTGCAGCTCCCAGCCACCTTCCGATTAGCAAACAATCACTTTGCTAGGTCTTACTTTCAGGGAAGGCCTTATACAGGATGAGGCAGCATAACATCTCCCACAGCAGTTCCTGGACTACTTGGACAACAGGGAAGGTATTGCAGCTTCCAGCCACCTTCCAGGGAGCAAACAAACACTTTGCTAGGTCTTACTTTCAGGGAAGGCCTTATACAGGCTGAAGCAGCATAACTTCCTTTTTTCACAATTTAATAAAACCCATTGTATGAATCAGAATTTTTTAAAAAATTTTAATAATGTAGGCGCATACCTAAAGTTTTGTTTTGCGTAGTTTTGAAGATCAAATTAGGTAGGTGACGTTCCCCGTTCGCCATACACTGAGTAAACCAATTTCTAGCGTTTGTCATTACTCTTGCCAGCATAGCAAGCGTTATGTTGGCAATTTCTTCCTGAATGTTGGTCTTCAAATCTTGTAGCGTCTTTGGACGGTTCACATAAACACAGGATTTCAAAAAAATGCATAGAAAAAAATTACAAGGGGCCAAATCTGGAGAGCGTGTGCGCCACTCCAAATCCACTCGAAAAGTAGGTCTCAATGGCAAAAGCACACTCCTCACTGTTCCAACGCATGATGGCGACTGAACTGTCAGGACAAAACTTTATACTGCCGCCTCTCAAACGAGACCACTAGTGGGTTGTTGTAGGTTTTTCCGGGCTATATAGCCATGTTCTAGAGCAGTTGACGGGCAACCTTTTGAGCTTGGTGTGTCAGAATTTGCCAAAAACCTGCGCATATCTTGGGTGGGGTGTCAACTTTGAGAAAAAAACAACATAATTTTGCCATATTTATAGTTTAAATAAGAAAAAATGTATATTCCATGCTGGGTTATGGAGTGAACAATGCTCAAACATTGTTGTTCATTCGTTCAGTCGTCTCCGACTCTTCGTGACCTCATGGACCAGCCCACGCCAGAGCTCCCTGTCGGCCGTCACCACCCCCAGCTCCTTCCAGGTCAGTCCAGTCACTTCAAGGATGCCATCCATCCATCTTGCCCTTGGTCGGCCCCTCTTCCTTTTGCCTTCCACTTTCCCCAGCATCATTCCCTTCTCGAGGCTTTGCTGTCTCCTCATGATGTGGCCAAAGGACTTCAACTTTGTCTCTAGTCTCCTTCCCTCCAATGAGCAGCCGGGCTTTATTTCCTGAAGGATGGACTGGTTGGATCTTCTCGCTGTCCAAGGCACTCTCAGATGTGCAGATATTAAATTTGTAGAGCCTTTTACAAATTTAAGGATGGAATTAGATTGGCTCTTAGAAGGTGTACTTCTCTGTATGCGGCCGCGTGTCATCAAAAATAGCCATGCGTGTCAGTGCTGACCCGCGTGTCATAGGTTCACCATCACGGTTCTAGAGGCATTTTCTCCTGACGTTTCGCCTGCATCTATGGCAAGCATCCTCAGAGGTAGTGAGATTGCCCCAGGTACTAAGAAGCCACACAACTGCCAAGCCATCAAATGCTAATCAAGGTGGTCAGTTGAAACATTCACACCTAGCTCCAGCAGAAAAAAAACTCTAAAATTGCAACAGTACAACAACAGAGAGGAAGTAGGCAGGGACATCTAATTACCTCTCAACAAAAGTTTGCTCCAGGCACAGTCAGCCCATTGTATGCTAATCAAGGTGGTCAGTTGAAACATTCACACCTAGCCCCAGCAGACAAGAGTCCTTTGTCCCACCCTGGTCATTCCACAGATATATAAAGCCATTTTCCTACTTCCAACAGACCTCACTACCTCTGAGGATGCTTGCCATAGATGCAGGCGAAACGTCAGGAGAAAAATTGCCTCCAGAACATGGCCATATAGCCCGGAAAAACCTACAACAACCCAGTGATTCCGGCCATGAAAGCCTTCGACAATGCAGAGACCACTAGTGCTCCGCTACGTCTTCAACCGACTGAATGGTGCGCATTTAAAAAAAGGAAGTTATGCTGCCTCACCCTGTATTTAGCAATTCAGCAAAACCTCTACTAGGTCTTATTTTCAGGGGATGTCTTATTTTCGGGGAAACAGGGCAGGAGATAAGTTCCCAACCAAATCTGGAAGGTCGGACTCTTATCTCCTATCATTCTTGACCAGGCTGATTGAGATTGCTGGGAATTGGGGTCCAGCAACTTGTTTTTGGAGGATTATAGGTTGATCCATTCTTGTTAGAGATAGAAAAGAGTCAAAAATGGCCCTTCCAGCATCTCTGGTGTGGAATCCAGTCCTGATTATAACTGTGCGCATCATTTCGGTGTATGCAAAACAGGCAGGGTGTCTCTCCCCAAGTCATGACATGTCCTTCCTTTGGGGAGTGTGTTCATTGTTGTTATTGATCTGTCCATGCTTGCAGATGTTCAAAGGAGACAGGGAAGGTTTTGATTTTACAGTATTACGTTGTACAGCGTGGGTTTTTCTTTTAAG